CCTCTCCTCCATCTGTCCCTCTCTTCCACCTCTCCCTCTCCTCCATCCCCACTCCTCTATCTCCCTCTCTTCCATCTTCCCTTTCCTCCACCTCTCCCTCTCCTCCAACTCCCTTTCCTCCATCTCTCCTCTCCTCCATCTCCCTCTGGTGTCTGGGAGGATACAGCTGAGTGTGAGCTTCAAACAGGATCTTAGTGAGTGGAAGTACAGCTTCAAAGGACTGATTGGCCTAATCCAACACTTTGAAGTTTACATTCCTGAACTATCGCAGGACTTTTCGCTCAGATTTTCAGCTCCCGTTGGTTTTAGGTGGGAGGGTCATTTTCAAAATCCACTCCGAGAAGCTGGTGCATAAGCCAATCACTGGAGTAACTACAGCATAAGTTCATTTTGGAGAATAAGCAAACAGTGCTGAAAGCCAGGTTGGTGGAAAGATGGAAATGGCTTTTGGAGAGAGATAGTAGGAACTGCAGATACTGGAGAATCTGAGATAACAAGGTGTAGAGCTGGATGAACACAGCAGGCCGAGCAGCATCATAGGAGCAGGAAGGCTGACGTTTCGGACTTAGACCCTTCATCAGAAATGTCATCACAACCCTGAGTGAGAAATAAAGATTATCTTCCTCTCTGTTTCAAATGGGCATTTGCTGATTTTTAAACAGCGTTCCCTAGTTCTAGATGAAGTTTCTGATGAAGGGTCTAGGCCCGAAATGTCAGCCTTCCTGCTCCTATGATGCTGCTCGGCCTGCTGTGTTCATCCAGCTCTACACCTTGTTACCTCTGGAAATGGCTTTTCACTGCTTTACATATGAACATATAAATTAGAAACAGGAGTAGGCCAGTCAACTCCACAAGCCTACTCCCCCATTCAATAAGATCCTGGCTGCTCTGATTACTCTGCATTCCTGCCTTCCCCCTTGCTTATCAAGAATCTATCTAACTCAGCCTTAAAAATTTAAGGCTTCCATTGCTTTTTGAGGGACTGAGTACCAAAGATTCACAACCCTCAGTGAGAAATAAAGATTATCTTCCTCTCTGTTTCAAATGGGCATATGCTGATTTTTAACAGTGTTCCCTAGTTCTAGATTCTCCCACAAGAGGAAACATCCTTTCCACTTCTACCTGGTCAAGACCCTTCAGGATCTTAAAGCTTATACTATGAAAAGATGTTCCTTTCACGAGCTTTATCTAGAATATCTGTCTGTGGTCACAGGTACCTGCAACCAACCTTATGCTACTCAAGACACAGGTCATGTTACACCAGCCCAATGTATCATTTGCATCTTACATTTCATCGCTAAGTATATGTTTGGCACGTGAGATACTCCTTCTGCACAATGCAAATCCTCCTCCTCAGCTGTTCTGAATTAAGATTCACTCTGACACTCTGTTAGTGCATTTTCACCACACTCCAGCAATAATATTTAATAAAGTAACAGATTAAAACACAAGATCAAACAGAAATGTTCGCTTTCCAACTAAACTGGAGATAATTCTTGATTTTCAGTACAAATTAAACAAGAGCCAGTGATGTCCTCATCCCATGAACGAATAGAAATAACAAAAAAGAGCAAATTTAAATTAAAATTTGGCCCATGGATTTTGAGGTCACATGATGAAAACAGCATCAATTGATTTTCAAATCCTGGGAAAATGTAAAAATTCTAATTTAATTCAGCTGAGAAGTGATAATGATTGTAGAACTGATAGCATGTGGGATTTGAGACAAATAAAAACTGCAGATGCTGGAAACCTAAGTAGACAAACAGGAGGCTGGAAGAACACTGCAAGCCAGGCAGCATCTGGAGGAAAGGAGCAGTCAATGTTTCAGGTATTGCCTTTCAGGACCTGAAGAACGTTAATATTCGAAACGTTGACTTCTCCTTTCCTCCAGATGCTGCCTGGCTTGCTGTGTTCTTCCAGCCTCCACCATGTGGGATTTGTTTGGAGTTATTTCTTAACCCCATTTCAGGGGAAATGTTACTGAGGCACTGCCTGCTCTTTCAAGTGGCACATGGAGGATCACCTATGACACTATCTTGGAGAAGGGCAGGGGAGATCTTCATGTCCAATACTTACTCTTAAATCAACATCAGTAAAGAACAAATTACCTGGTCTTAATGGGAATTTACTGTGCAAAAATTGGCTGTTGCATTTCCTAAATCACAAAACTAAATAAAGTTCAAAATCTTATCATTGGCTGTAAAGCACTTAAAGGTATCTGCTGTTGTAAAAATGTAGGTGTTGTGACATAAGGGGTGTGATTTGTAACTTAGTGTAGATATAACTTAATGTAGAGATTCCATTTTGTGCTTGTGGCATATGGGTTTGGTCATTGTTTATGAAGGAGTTTAATGTTTAACTTGCAACTATTTCTGTAGCCATGGTGACTACTTTTAAAACATAGCAGAGGACAGAGACTTTCTGGAGAGTAGTAATGGAATTTTGTTCTTATTGGGTGAGTTTTACAAATGAACGGAGTAGACATCTCTGCATTAGCCCTCAGTTAGAAGGTTCTGGAATGGAATTGTTTTTGGCATTCGTTGCTTGAAGAAATTTTTTTTTTAGTTCCAGTTTTCACAAGTTTTGGCTGAAGCTGGGTATGTAAGGCAGTTACTGATGGAGAGGGAGACAGTTCAGAACTTTTGAGAAACAGGTTACCTCACTGTAAGTGAAAGTTCCAGACCAGAAAGGGTTGGTTAAACCTTGGATCGATTATTGGAAATTGAGAATATCTAACTTCAATCGTATAAAGGATCCAGTAAGAGTCAATCAGATTCTAAAGACCGGAAGTTAAGCCACAGTTAAATGAAATTCCATCGGCAAGATAGGAAGGGAATTCTCTCTGGTGTGAGTACTGTAAAGGAGTGCTGTTGGAATTTTTGAGATTGCATTTTACCATCTGTTTCAAAATCTTTAATCTTGTGTTATATACAAAGTAGTTTGGTTTATTGTATGGTTTTCTTAATTTCTTTTGTGTCATAAACTTCTAATTTATTGTTAAACGCACATCTGCACCATTGCAAGACCATCTCTCTAAAGACCATGTCACTAAAACCAAATAAAAAGAAAAATAAATGATCCATCAAGCCAGATTTCGGCCTGCAATCTGACAGATCCAATAGTAATATAAACAATGATGTAAGGGTTTTGCTTTTACAAAGCATCTTTAACCTATAAGATCTTATATAGGAGAATTAACAACTACAATTTGACACAATCACAGGAAGAGACAACATGGCAGGTAATTGAAAGTTTGGTCAAAGAGGTAGACTTAAATTATATTAATAGAGCAGAGAGTTTAGAGAGTTTGTTTGGTGTTAAGAGAATTTAGGATCACAGTGACTGGAAGCATGGCTACCAATGGTGGAGTAAACAAAATTGGGCTATTCAAAAGATCAGAATTGGCACATCTCAAACATCTCCAAGATTAGAGGAGGTTACAAAGATTGAGAGGGTGGCAGGGTGGGGGTGTTCAAGGTCCTATTTGTGCTGCATTGGCTACAGCAGTGAACAACTGGAAATGTGGATAATTCTAATAGTTAGAAGTCAGTAAATCAGACCTGCAGTTGCTTTTTGGGCACTGAGGTATCTGTTTTCCTCTTGACAATAATTTCAGACTTTAGTGATCACTCGGAATACTGCCAAATCTAAAAGGGAGACAAATCGCATTAGCTAGTTGTTGGTGCAGTCTCAATAACTGAAAGACTATTACATCTGTTGCTGAGATCGGTGGTTGACTGACGGTAGACAGAATAATTACTGTTCTGTCACAGTCAAAAGTTCTTGGCATTTCCAAGATTGGAATTTCAGTATATAAAATTTAAGGAGTTTTAGAGTAGTTGAAAGAAAATCTGACAGATTTCAAGTCCGTTTGGAAAGGACATAGAAAAATTCCCTACTTAGGATCACTTCCTATAGAATAATTTCTGTTTTTACACAATTTAACATGCACCAAAACATTGCTGAGATCAACAACTTATGTGATACATGTTTCAGTTCCACAGATTTTGGAAAGTAAATATCATTTGTTTCTGTGTCTGACATAAGGTTCAGTGGGTTTTGAATGAGACTGTGGTTAAATTTGGGACAGATGTTAGCAAATGTTGCAGCAGTCTTTTGATGTAAGGTCAAACATTACTTTCTTTATTTAAGCATAATAAACAACTATACATATTAATATACTACAGATGGGTCAAGGCTTCCCCACTGCCATAAGGCTGCTAGAGTGAACTGTCTCCTTATAGTCATATGTACAATAATCCTTTATACCACATGAACTCTGTCAGAATGCAATTTTCCTTATATTTCATCCCTTTGCAGCTAATTGATCCACAATGTCACTTATTCTGGTTAAAATTTCTTTTTCATTCACGGGATGTGGGTGTTGCTGGCTGGGCCAGCATTTATTACCCACTCTTAGTTGTCCCTTGAGAAGGTGCATGTCTTCCTGAACTGCTGCAATCCATTTGATGTAGATATTCCAACAACATGCCTGTTAACTTACAGAATCTCAGAACTGAAACATTTCAATCTCGGAAAAAAAAACATGCATGCTGTAAAGAATAAAGCAGAACATTCTCAAGAGATTAGAAAATACTTCTGTTACTGATTGGATCATTCATTGATGCAGTGGTTTCAGTACCACAGCAGTAGTGTCCCTACCTCTGGACCAGGAGGTCTGGGTTCATGTCCCACCTCATCCAGAGGTGTGTATTAACATCTCTGAACGGTTTGATTAGGAAAATATCACGGGCTGGTTTCGCTCACCAGAGGGTATTGATTAGCAAAGGAGAGAGCAGGCTGGAGTTTCTATTGAACTGTGAAGGGTGAATAACAGTTGTGGATGTCAGACTGACTCCTGCTTCCTGCTTCAACCCATCTCATCTGAGCTAATTATTGCATTCATCATTTTGGTGCTGGTTTAAACACATTGCCCCACTAAGTATCTGTAATTCCTCCAACAGCCATACACCCCCCGACCCGTACACTGCCCTTACCTTATTAACACCATCTGCCATAGCCTGTAAAGTCAACTCACGAGGTCCATCCACAGTTTTACCATCATCGGTTGGCCCCCAGCTGGCGCTGTAGATATCTATAATCTGAGGCATGTGACTGATGGAAGAGGCTTCAATGATGTCAGTCATGAATGGCTGGTCCAGCATACGAATGCCTGTAGAATGTTGAGAGGTCATGTGAATGTTTCTGAAAATATTGATATGGTTCATTCATTCATTGGAAGTGAAGCAATGATTGTGTGTGGACTTCCTATTCCCCAATGGAATGCTGATGCTAATGATCCAATGTTAACGGATGACTGCACATGCTCACCTCTGATCTTGTCAGACTGCATAATTATGTATATAAATATAATACTGATTTTTAAAAAAATATTAACAAAATCTACCTTATTTAATGGTTGCATCAGTTAGCTTGGATGGTTGGCTTGTGATGCCAACAACATGGGTTCAATTCCTGCACCAGCTGAGGTTACCATAAAGGACTCTCCTTCTCAACCTCTCCCCTTTGCTTGAGGCATGGCAACCCTCAGCTTAAACCACTTCCAGTTGTCTCTCTCTCTCTGATAAGACAGCAGCCCTATAGTCTGGAAAGACTTCAGCGACTTTATCTTTTATCTCTAAACTGATGTTGCTTTTTCATTAATTTTTTTTGGCGTTTCTGGGGTCTTTATCATTCTTTATTTCAATTTATTTGAGACATTTCACTGCTACTGACCATATACCTGGGCGTCAGCGAAAGCAGTCTTTTTGGAAACATTATTCGAAAAATATCAAATTATGATAATGGATTGTACAGAGGCATTTGGTGTTCAAAGGGATTGGTGTGTCCTGATTAACAAATCAGAGGAACACGATATGCAGTTACTGCCAGAACTGAAAAGGCAAAAGTTGTATGGCAAGTGGAGCTTAAGAACGTAAGATTAAAGAATTCTTGGTGTCATTATATAGGACTTTGGAAATGAAATAACTCTTCAGAGGCTGGCATCCCCATCAGCAATCACCTTTTATTTACAAATGCACTGACAATAGCACTGCCTCTCACTGAGTCAGAATTTCAGGGCTCAATGTCCCTGACATTCACCGCTTAATGTCAGCCTGGGCTCCCTGCTCGGACCTGCATAACAGCCCCAATCAGGGGTCTCATATTCTATGAGGACCAGTTGGCTGACCTCAATACAAGCACAAGTAAGTCTACACTTGGAATACTGTGGAAGAGGTAGTCCACTCTTCAAGAAGGATCATCTTGCCTTGGAATTGGTATAACAAAAGCCCACTGATTGATTCCTGGAGTGAGAAAGCTGACATACAAGGAGCGATTGAACAGAATGGGACTATACTCTTTGGAGTTTCTAAGATTAACAAGTTAATCTCACTGGGATATATAGAATTCCCCATGATTTTGATCGGGTTGATGCTGAGAAACTGCTTCCCCATTATCTCTGGTCCAGGAGATAATCATTTCAGATTAAACTGAGGAGAAATGTCTTCACTCACAGGGTTGTGAATCTTTGGAATTCTCCATCTCAGAAAACGGTGGATGCCCAGTCATTGAGTAGATTGAAGGCTGAGGTTGGTGGGTTTTTAGACACAGAAGAGAATCAAGGAATATGGGGACAGGGCACAGAAGTGAAACTGAGGTAAGAAATCAACCATGATTTCATTATATTCTGAAGCAAACTTGAGGGGCTGAATGGCCACCTTGCACTCCAATGTTTTATATTTTTATATAGTGTCCAGTTTAAACTGAGAAATGCGCAATCATTTGTAAGTTTCGAAATAGGACACAGACTTGTGGTGGTCTATTGCATAACTGAAGGAGTGAGTATTCCATTATTTGCTACTGCATCTGCTTTCTAGAACCAGTGTGGGAGTTGTTTTATTGTGAGTTCACTTATTTCAGTATTATTTTGCTTTGATGCACATTATTGAGATCCAATTGAATCTCCCAACTCCCAGTGACACAGGTTGCCTCAAACCTGTCTCTCGACATGTCTCACTCATAATCATTCTGAAGTAGGATTTATGTATCAATGTCACAAGACTACCTCACTCTTAAAAATTGTTGTGGCCAGAGAGTTGGGACGAAAGTTGCAATTTGTAGTTACGTGAGTCAGTGTTGGAGAGGGAGGGGAGGGTAGACTGGGCTTTGAACCAAAATATCAGGTGGGCATTATTGGCCAAACAACCCCTGTATTCAGTTCTTCTGATTGACTTCTTAAAACATTTATTATTCATGGGATATCACAGCAAGTCCTGCATTTATTACTCATCTTAAATTGCCTTCAAAAAGGTGGTGATACTTTCTTGAATCACTACAGTTCCTGTGTTGTAGGTACTTGTCGACTCACGGTGCTGTTAGAGAGGGAGTATCAGAATTTACAGTGTATTTCCAATGATATATTTCTGGGCTAGGATGATGTATGGGTTGGAGGGGAGCTTACAGATGGTGATGTTCCCATACATCTACTGCTCTTGCCTTTTGAGGTGGCGGAGATCGAAGGTTCATAGGCTACTGTCAAAGGAGCCTTGATGAGTTGCTGCAGTGTGTCTTGTAGATGGCACATATCATATGGCATGCCAGATCTTTTATCACTGGGAAGGTAATTAGCCTCTGTCCAAGAATGATATGTGCGTTTTTCATTGTCAGAGGGAGTACCTGAAAGGCACCGCTCTACATGGGGAAAGGCAAGGACACTAGCAAGTATGAAAAACCACTGTCAGTATGGGGATTGAAGCCACGCTGTTAACATCATTCTGTACCATCCTTTAGCCATCTTGCCAACTACATTAACCTACCCCTACCCTTTCAGCAATAATGTTTGCAGATTATTATTGAATATTCATTTGAGTTTTAGTTCAATGAGCCAAAATACCACAGGCAAATATGTTCAAATAAAGACAGGGATTGGAAAATCAAATTCAATGACTATAGAACAAAAACAAAGTTGCTGGAAAAGCTCAGCAGGTCTGGCAGCATCTGTGAAGGAAAAAACAGAGTTAATGTTTCAGGTCCGGTCACCCTTCCCCAGAACACAATGACAATGGAAAACAAGCTGCTTTCCTTTGGCACTTTCAGTTTAGAAAAACATCCTAAGGAATTCACACAAAAAATTACTGTATTACCTTTTCCTCCCAAAAAGTATTTTTTTTCTCTCCGTTACTTAATTTTGCTTTGCATTTGTAAAATTTAATGGGGATTTCTGCCTCTCGCTCATTTTATTCCTATTTCTCTTCATTAACATAGCTTGACACATATACCATACCTGCCACCCGTGATGAGTAAGCCACTCCCACACCACATATATTGTTATTGGCAGCAGAAGATACTTCACCAGCGCACCTTGTCCCGTGGCTGCAAAAAAGGATTCCGCAGTTATTCAATGACAAAACAAATCGCACGCCAATTACTGTTTTTGTCTTGCTCATGATTCAGGGCATGTAGACATTGCTGGTAAAGGCCAGCATTTATTGTCCATCTCCAATTACCCTTGCAAAGGTAGCGAGGTGCCTTATGGCACCTGAGTGGCGTGTTAGGCCACTTCAGAGTCAACTGTGGGTCTGCAGTCACATGTAGGCCAGGCCAGGTAAGGTTGGCTGATTTCCTCCCTTGAGTAACATTAACAAATCAGACGCATTTTTCTGACAATCTACCAAATTTATGCTCGTCATTAGTGACACTAACTTCTGATTCCAGGTTTATTTCACGACTGTTCAATTCCACATCTGCTGATTAGAATTCAGGTTTCTGAAGTGTGACTTAATGCACTGTGGCAGAGAAAACAGAAGAGCTGCCAGTTGTTTAAATAGAGAAAGACTGCAGAAAGCAACAGTGCAGAGGGATTTTGGGGTCCTCATCAATGAATGACAAAAGGCTGGCATCCAAATTTAATAAGGTAATAAGGAAGGGAAATAGAATGTTGGCCTTTATTTCAATGGCAATGGAAAGGAGGTTTTGCTAAAACTATGCAATAAACCAGTCAGACTTCAGCTGTAATACTGTGAACATTTTTGTGCCCCTAATAAAGGAAAAATACACTGACATTGGAGGCAGTCCAGAGAAAGTTCACGAGACCAATCCTGGGCATGGAGGGACTGTCTTATGTGGAGAAGTGAGTAGATTGGACCTTTATTCAGAATTTAGAAGAATGAGAGGCAGTCTTATTGAAACATAAAAGATTCTTAAAGGTCTTGACAGGGTAGATGTGGAAAGATGGTTTCCCCTTGTGGGAGAGGACAAGGGGGCATCATCACAGAATGAGGGGATAATAAATACTGACCAGAAATGAAGAGGAATTTCTTTTCTCAGAGGGTGGAGAATCTTTGGAATTCTTTACCACAGAGGGCTGTCGAGGCTAGGTCATTAAGATAAACAGATTTTTCATCAGGAAGGGAATAAGGGTTTTGGGGAAAAGGCAGGAAAGTGGAGTTGAGGATTACTAGATCAGCCATGGGCTCATTGAATGGCAGAGCAGACTTGATGAGCTAAATGCCTACTTCTGCTCCTATATCATACAATTTTATGATAATTGTCTACAGATTTGTTAATATAGTTACAAGAATGTGCCACTGGTTTGTAAATAATGGTAGCCATTAGAGACATAATTGCAGGTTGACATAGATTGATACTTGAATATTGAAGGGGATTGGATATTTGGGAAGGTCAGGCAGCTAGGAAAATGTGGAGGGATGACTCTGTTCATGTATGGTGGATGGAGAGGATGACGTAAGTTATTAATATTGGAAATATTCTGGGTAGAGATGAGAAATGATAAAGACACAAAGTCACTCACGGGTGTACAGCACAGATCCCCTATGAGAAACCATATTGCAAAGTGGAACATAGAGGGAAAAATAATGGGAGCTCATCAGAAATGCATGGCATTAATCATAGAAGATTTTAATCTACACGTAGACCAGAGACGTTAGCTGGGCAAAGTAAGCCTCGATGACCAGTGTATAGAATGTTTTCAGGATAATTTACTAGAATAGCTTTGTAGCCAACCAGAGAGCAGATTATACTAGACCTGGTATCGAGAAACAAGACAGAATTAATTATTGATCTCATAGTGAAAGTGTTCCTAGAAAGTAGCGACAATAACATGACTGAAATTTAAATTCAGCTCCAGGGACAGAGTAGGTTTGAAACAGTTTTTTTAACAACTTAAATAAGTCCAGTCATGAGGACATGAGAGCAGGACTGGGTCAAGTGAATTGGCAGGTTAGACTAAAGGATAGGTCTAGAATCGCAATGGCAGATATATTAAGGGGACATTTAAGAATAAATAAAAGAGACATAATTGCAAAGAATAAGAAAGAAAGAATAAGGAAAAGTCCAAGGGACAGGTCCCTCATCCATGGTGAACTATAAATGTTAAAGATAGTATCAAACTAAAAGAAAAAGCATATAATTATGCAAAGGCAGGTGGCAGGTCAGTGTTACTGGGTCAAAATCCTGGAATTCCCTCCCAAAAGGCATTGTGGTTCTACCTACAGTACATGGAATGCAGCAGTTCGAGAAGGCAGCTCACCACCACCTTCTCAAGGGCAAGTAGGGACAGGTAATAAATGCAGGCCCAGACAGCGACACCCATGTCCCACAGTGAGCAAGAAAAAGTTTCTTGAGAATTCGCAGGATTACATCAACTCAATCTCTGCTCGCCTCACTCCCTCCAAACTTGCGGCTCCCTGTTCGCTCAGGTCTAAGATTAGTGACACTTCTACACACAAAGAGTGGTAGAAGTTTGGAACTGTCTTTCACAAATGGCTGTGATGCTGGATCAGTTGATCAATTTAAATGAGAGATAGATAAATTTTCGTTAACAAAGCTATTAAGGGATATGGGTCAAAGGCAGGTATGTGGAGTTAGGCTACATATCAATCATGATCTCATTGAATGGCAGAACAGACTCAAGGGGCTGAATGGCCTACTCCTGTTCCTATGTTTATTGTCACTAAACCTGTTGCGTTTTCTGGCGTACTGACCTCTACCTTGCTGAGCTTGAGCACCAAGTGTGACATAATAGCCCTTGTGGCACAGTGACAGTGGAACTTAGCTCCACATCCTACATCTGGAACTCCATGCAGGCCTTGGTTCAAGTCTTAACTACTCCAGAAGTGTGTAAATACATCTTTGAGCAGGTTGATTAGAAGATATCAGGTAGTTGCCATGGTCACTATTGTTGAGACTAAGTTTCAGTTCCAGATTTATTCACTAAATTCCCAGCTGTTATGGTGGAATTTGAATCCTAGTCCCCAGAAAATTAACCTGGGCCTCTGGATCACTATCACCATTACCATGTACTAATGTAATCACATTACCATACACTGTCATCACTCCTTTTATAAATTCTAATATTAAATGAAAATGCTGTTTATTATTTAACACGTAATTTTTACTTTTTTTTGGACATTACTTCCCACCTCTCATACAGGCAACTATGCAGTTCTATTATGATTAAAAGCAAAATACCCCTGGGCGGTGGAAATCTGAAACAAAGGGAGAGTGTATTATAGAAACTCAGCACACTGGCAGGATCCATAGAGAGAGAAAAAGAGTTAACTTTTCAAGTCCAGGGACTCTTCTTGAAAACGCCTGAAGAATATCCATATCGGACTCAAAATATTAACTCTGTTTCTATCTCTCCACAGTTTCTCCAGCATTCTTCACGTTTATTCAATTCTGTCAGAGTTTTCTAATAGAGTTTTAAAAAGGTATTTTTTCACAGGATTTACGAATTGCTGGCAAGGTCAGCATTTGTTGCCCATCCTTCATTATTTCCAAACTAGGTGGCTCTCTAGACCATTTCAGAGGCCAGTTAAGGGTCAACCACATTGCTGTGGGTCTGGAATCACATATAGGTCAGAGTGAACCAGATAGATTTTTAACAATAATTGATGAAAGATTATTCACTAACAAAGCTAATATTCAATATTAATTGAATAGAGTTTCCCCACCAACTACAGTGGAGTTGGAGCCTATATCCCTAAAGCATTAACCTATGCACCTAGATTACGACTACACCACCTTGTCCTCAAGTTTTTAAGAATCACTTATGTTTTCATGTGAAATATATTCAAGGGCAGCGGTTGCAATCAATATGATACTGCACTTTTTTCTGTAGACATCTTTGTCCAAAGACATCTAATCTTTTCAACACAATAACTTTCATTTCAGTCCAGTCAGCCCGGATTATCTGATAGGATATATCTTTTTCTGAACTAACTCTATTTTCCATCTACTCAGCTCTTCCTCTTTATTTTTGGAGTTCGGCAGAAATAAACAGAAGACCATTTAGCAAAAATTACAAGCTTAGGCATTAAACACAAAACTAGTCATAATTAAACCTGGCCAATTTGTCAGAATCTTTAACTCAAATACAGTACGATAGACCAAATAATCACAGAGACATTTCCAATATAAATGTATTAACGAGAATCCTCATAAAACCAAGAGCATTTTGGCTTTCAACTCCTAAATAAAGATATATTTCACTGTGGACAAAGGATGGAGCACAAAGTGCCTTAAAATGATTTGGATTGAATACAAAAATCAATACCTAATGTGACCAGACACTGACTGCTCTCTGCTGTCACTGAGTGGTCTTGATTGCTTGGCACATTCATAATTCAGCAAGATTGTATGCATTCCAGCATTATGAGAGCCCAGAGCTTCCTGTACAGCACCAGAGAATGACCACATTGTGTCTATATTACCTGTTAAACCAATCACCTGTGTAGCGGGGATACGGATATGGGTCATTGCTGCTGAAATCATAGCTGGCTTCTGCATTCTGTAAAGAGATAGGTACATCAAACTGAAGTTTAAAATGTAATGAATTCTTGTTATGATGAAATATGAAAACACAGTCATTTAGAGACACAGAACTGGTAAAGACACAGCAGTTCGTACTGCAGCAAAAAAGGGTACTGCTTAGTTAGCAACCAATAAATTGTGATTGTTTGCAATTAGCCATTCTTGAATTTGTCCTGATGAATGAAAGAAGCGAAGCTTCATCAGCATGTCTTGCTTATTGGACTTAGATCTAATAATTATGACCATTTTAAACTGAGTAAGGAGGTTTTCTTTAACGTGGAGGTGCCGGTGTTGGACTGGGGTGGACAAGGTCAGAAGTCACATGACACCAGGTTATAGTCCAACAGGTTTATTTGAAATCACAAGCTTTCAGAACATTGAGCCTGATGAAGGAGCAGCGCTCCAAAAGCTTCTGATTTCAAATAACCTGTTAGACTATAACCCGATGTCATGTGGCTTCGAGCTTTTCTTTATGTAAGGTTCTTTCATTTGGAAATGAAATAGTGAAAATCCAGAAATTCTGCATCTAATTTTAACACAGGTTTTGTCTCACACGTCGAATGTCACATGGTTTCACACATGTAATATGATTGTAAATCATATTAATCCCTGGGATGGAAGGATTGTCGAATGGTGAGAGATTGAGGAAACTGGGTATGTATTCTTTAGGGTTTTGAAGAATGAGAGGCGATTTTATCGAAACTTGCAGAGCTCTTACGGGGCATGAAGTGGTTGGATCAGAACCCAAATTCCTACGGACTTATTGAAATTTGACAAGATGTGTTATTTTAAATCAAAGACTGCTGAAAGATTACAAATATATCTTTGCATGGCTTGGATGTCTTCGCCTGGAGAATATCATCTGGAAATGGATGATAGTGTGGGACCTACATAAGCACCCACTGAAGAGGTTTACCACTGCCCTCAGTCTGAAAGACAAGACAGAGGAGCTGGAAGAGAAGGGGTCCTTAAGGAAGAGGCAATTCCTGCAGATTGGATTAGGAGCCTAGTAACAGTGAAGAAAATTTGGAAAGCTGAGAGTGTGCATAGATCCAAAGGATCCCATTAAGGATTTGAAGACCATAATCAGAATCTAGAGTGGTTGCTAGACACAGCTCACTGGAAGAACCTGAAGCTGAGCTGGAAAAACTTGTAACTGAAAATACCTGAATTCACATACATAGGTCACCTACCGACAGTGAAAAGATCCTGTCCCAGTTTTAAACCAGTTGCAGCTGAGATGAGTGGATTCTGCTTACTATCTGCTACTTGAAACTGTAGATCAACATTCCCTACTGCACTTACAGAGTCATTCAGCTGCATTTATAGAGTCATCCAGCATGGAAACAGATCCTTCGGTCTAACTCATCCATTCTGACCAAGCTTTCAAATCTAGGCTAATCCCTCTTATCAGCGTTTGGCCCATATTCCTCTAAACTTTTACTTTTCATGTTCCTATCCAAACGTCTTTTAAATGTTGTAACTGTACCACATCTACCACCTTCTCTGGCAGTTCATTCTTGGGATGAGTATCATTCCATTGCTTCACCTCAACTTTACATTTCAGGGTTTCGATTGGGTCCAATCAGGTCAGCATGTTGAGTCACATTGCACAGGTCTGTGTAGCTCATCATGTTGCATAAAGCTCCCAGTATCTACTTGACTTTTAACCTTCACTTGATACTCTCCTGCAGTCAAAATTTTAATGGGCAGAAACTATTCTGAGCACTTCTAACCTTATGATACCAACCTGTTGTATGATGTAGAGTGATTCATCAGAATGGTCGTATCTCCAGCAACCATCTTCATCCAATAACATTGCTTCTTTCCAGCTATAAGCTTGTGTGTAACATGATCTAGGTTCTTGCAGTTAGTATAATGTTTCCCCTACACTGGACATCTTTTTGTTTCTTTTGTGTGGTATCTTTTACAATATTTAGATCCTGTACTTTGCATTAGATCGTTTTGTTTGCCCTTCAGCATTTTTTTTCACCGCCTATGTTGTTTTTGTTAGGACTGGTTTGTTTCTCAGCATTATGTGAACCCACAGCCATATTTCTATTAGTGCTCCCCAGCTGAAAGCTCCAACACCAGAGCTGTATGTCGATAGTTTTCTTGAGAGTAAGATTCCCCTCTCTCAGCAGACGTGCTGTCTCGCAGAATCTCTAATGCCTCAAGCATCCTATTACTAATGAGACATCCAAACTCATCAGCTAGATGTCTCAGTTCCATCACATATTGAACAATTTTCGTCCTCTCCCCTTAAGTTCTGAGATGGAATGTATACCATTGGAACATTATTGGAATGGAATTGGAATCCAATTGGAACCATTGGAATGGAACATTAATACAAGCTTCAAAGTGTAATTTCAATGTCCTTAGAATTTCCCCAGTTTGGCTTTCTTGATCCTCACTGAGTTAAGGGGTACATTACAACTTGTAGCTCACTTACTCCAGCTCTCTTAACACAATTGCTACTCCAATTGTTCAGGTTGTTTTTTTTTTATTAACTCTGTAGCTATTTCATAATTTTGCCTTTGGGACTGGAATCATCATATTGTGTGTTGTGAATCATTGTTCAGTATCATTTCCACTGAACTAGAAAATTCACAGTCAGTTTGACTGATCCAGTTGTTTAACATTGCAAGACTGCTGCTCTAATTCTTCCTTGCTGTTTATTACCATTGCTGGCTCTCTTGCCACCTTGGAAATCTACATAACTTCAGTTGGACACTTCTGGCACCATACTTCACATAGAGGTGTTTAATAGCTTTTCCTTCTAAACTGCAAAGTTCACATACCAGAAGTCACATGACTATGTCAGGTCACACCAAATACAAAACTTACAAATGGATTTGTCCAAATGGAATGTGTGTCAACAGGAGTGAAAATACTTTCTCACAGACCAATACATGATATGGACTTCACCTGATGAAGGAGCAGCGCTCTGAATACTTGTGATTTCAAATAAACCTGTTGGATTATAACCTGGTGTCATGTGACTTCTGATTTAGACCAATACAATTATCTTCCTTTCTGATATACTGGTGACACCTCCCCTTCCTGATGCAACAATACTGTCCCTATCCTTTCCACCATAATGATCAGACCCTAGCTTACATTGGACATCTCCACCATTGATGACATGACCCTCCTCAAGATACAGAGGACAGTACCCTACCTCCCATTTCTTCCTCCTTTACTCAAACTAACATGTATTCTCACTGACCGTTCCAACCCAGCTGCAGGCTCCTTACCCTGTTGCTGGCCAGATGACTTCGACAGAGCATTCCCTAACTTACAGGGAGCATAGACTGTCAATCACCCACTTATCAGGCCCACCTCTATCAATAATCAGGTACTTGTTGTTGCTTGCGGCTTTGCTACTGTAATAAAGGCAGTGATCATCCATTAATCAGAACTTTAAAAATGTTTGAACTGAAATTGAGGTTTGTAGTGAAGGCTTGTTCAATACATCATAATTGAACTCGCACAATCACCGTGATAGTCTGAACATCAGCCATTTATGTGCAGCTAATTCTGTTCAAATATTTATAGGATCCTGTCAATTTTTAATAGCTAAAATTGATGTGTTGCATTTCCCTGAAGAAACAGCGCTCCTTCGCATGTGAATTAAAGCACATATTTCATAAATAAGATGGGCTGTGTCACAAATTCACCCACCATCATTATCTCAACCAGTTGTAAAATTCGATTGATTGGATCATCCAAATTTAATAGCTGATAATTTCCAGGGATCAACTTGACTCCTCATCAATATTTTGCCTTGCAGTGGCGCCTATGGTGGAACTAAGCCGAAAATGTGCAAGCCAATGACGAGGACACAAGTGCAGAAGAGACAGGAGCAGGCTGAGACCATTTGGCCCCTTGAGTTGACTTTCCCATTCAATACAACCAGAGCCTATGTTCTACCTCCATTTCTATTTTCTGTCTGTCCCTTATATTCCTCAATTCCTCGATCATCCAACATCCTATTGATCTCAGCCTTGAATCTACTCAATGGCTGGAAAGTGGGATTAGTGGAGATGGGTTGCCACAGACTTGATGGGCCAAAGGGCCTCTTCTGTGCTGCATGACTGAATGACTAAATACCCACAATCATGTGGGGTAGATTCTTCCATAGATTAGCAGCCTTCCGATTGCAGCAATCTCTCTTCATCTCAGTCCTACATAGCAAATTGAGGTCATGAGCTGAACTTTCCTGATTGACTTACTACTTACCTGATTGAACATCAATGATTCTGATAAGGTAAATACTGAGAGGTTGCTTCTGCCTCTGGTTGGGGAGTCTAGAACATGGGAACGCTGTTGAAGGACGGAGATGAGGAAGAATTTCTTCCCAAAAAAAGGGTTGTGAATTTTAGGAATTCTTCACCACAGAGGGCTGTGGATGCCCCATCGTTGAAGATGATTTAAGGCCAGGAAAGACAGATTTGGTTTCTCAAGGAATCAAAGGCGAGCGCAGGAAAGTGCAGTTGAGGTCCAACTTCAGCTGCAGTTATATAGAATGGCAGGGAGGCTCTCAATGGGTGGAATGGTCTACATTTGCACCAATCTGTTTGAGTTATCAGAGGTTGGGCTTGGTGTGAGCGGGTGGCTCAGAAAAATTGTGCCTTGAAATAACTAAATTCAAGAGGGCATGGGATGATCATTTGGATAGAAATGGTAGAGTGGCCTTACTTCTGAACCAGGAGGTTTGGGTTCAAGTCCTTCCTGCTCTGGAGATGTGTCATAATGCATCTGAACAGGTTGATTAGAAAATATCTGGAATTGCAGCACACGATATAGGGAAAATGCAGGAGACTGGCACTAGGGGATAGAACCGGTGAAGGCACAATGGGCTGAATGGCCACCTTCTGTACCATAACTATTCTGTGGCTCTGTGAGTGCAGGCCTGGAGCTATCTCTCTGATGTTTTCTTGCCAATATCAACAGGGTTCTCACTGTAGCTGGGTG